GTCCAGTGCCAGCTTGAAGACTGTCAGGGGTCTGTTGGTAATCCCCCTTATGTGTGCTGGGAGGCAGTTGAACAGTCTCGGGCCCCTGACACTTATTGTATGGTCTCTTAACGTGCTAGTGACACCCCTGCTTTTCATTGGGGGGATGGTGCATCGTCTGCCAAGTCTTTTGCTTTCGTAGTGAGTGATTTTCGTGTGCAAGTTCGGTACTAGTCCCTCTAGGATTTTCCAGGTGTATATAATCATGTATCTCTCCCTCCTGCGTTTCCAGGGAATACAGGTTTAGAAACCTCAAGCGCTCCCAGTAATTGAGGTGTTTTATCTCCGTTATGCGCGCCGTGAAAGTTCTCTGAAACTTTTTCTAGGTCGGGGCAATTTCACCTGCCTTAAAAGGTGCTGTTAGGGGCAGCCTTTTCCCACCCTAGATAAACAAGTGACCTGAAAGTGTCTCGGGGTTGGGCCTCCCTATTTTAAAGGTTCCTTATCCATCCTGTCTTTTTTTCTACAGATGGTTTGATACAATTTATGGCCCTTTGAAGGTAAATCCTCCACATAACCTCCAGGTCTTTGACTTGTTTTTCGCTCTATTTAGGGCCAGATTTGTTTTGTACTCTGATGAAGATTAATTTCCTCATGTTTACCATACTGAGAAATTTTGAAATTTCTCATCTTTTGAACTTAAATTTTGTTTTTCCCCGCACCCACTAAAAGATTTGGTTGATGTCCCCTGGACCTTGCATGTCCAATGGAAACACTGTCATGCAGATTCGGGGTCATCTGCAAAGGAAACAGGGGCTGTGGCTGACATCCTTGTCTATGTCGGATATAGGATGGGGAAAAAGATGGGAGCTAGTACGTCCCTTTGTGGAACAGATTTTTTCACCAAAAGCTCCTGGGGATTTTACTCTGTTGACGACTACTCTCTGTTTCTGTTATGAGGAATTATAGATCCATCGACCGACTTTTCCGTTATTCCTTTACACGCATTTTTGCGCTATTACGCCATGGCCACTTGCGAAAGGGTTTTTCAAAGTCGAATTTACATCCATTTCTTTTTGTCTTCTGTGCATTTAGGGGCCTTGTCGTAGTGATCCAATAGTTTTTAGACAGACGGGCGACCTGTTCTAAACCCATGTTCCCTGGTTTTTGTAAAATGATGGTTTCAGATGGGGGGGTATCTGCTTTTTAGGACCCTTTCAAAGATTTTTTTGATATGGGATGTTAGTGCTATTAGTCTGTAGATCTTTGCTGTTGCTTTACTGCCCCCTTTGTGGAGTGGGGCTATGTCTGTGTTTTAGAAAATGGGGGACGACCCCCGTGTCCATGCTCCCTCTCCATAGGATGGAAAAGGTCCGTGATAGGGGCTTCTTGCAGTTCTTGATGAAAAACAGAGTTCCATGAGTCTGGCCCTGGGGCAGAGTGCAGGGGCATGTCATTTATCGCCTGTTCGAAGTCATTGGCGTCAGGATAACATGGATGGGCTTGTGTTAATGAAATTTTGTGGCTCTCTCATAAAAAATTCATTGTGATCTTCGACTCTCAGTTGGGGTTAGCGGCTTGCTAAAAACTGAGTCATATTGGGACTTGAGTAGCTCACTCATTTCCTTGCTGTCATCTGTGTAGGACCCATCTTGTTTAAGTAGGGGCCCAATACTGGACGTTGTTCTCGATTTTGATTTGGCATGGGAGAAGAAATACTTGGGTTTCCCCTCGATTTCATTTATGGCTTTTATTTCTTCCCGCGATTCCTGATCCTAAAGGATTCTTTTAGCTTAAGTTCGATGCTTGCTATTTCTCTGACCAGTGTCTCCCTACGCATTTCAGATATATTGACCTCTTTTAGCCGCTCTGTTATTCTTTTCCGTCGCCTGTAAGGGGAGCGCCTGTCTCTTTCTATTTTACATCTACTCCTCCTTTTTCTTAGAGGAATAAGCCTTGTGCATACATCGAGTGCCACCGAGTTAATCTGTTCTAGGCATGAGTTGGGGTCTGTGTTGCTTAGTGTATCTTCCCAGCTTATATCGGTTAGGACTTGGTTTACTTGGTTTTTGTTATTGAAGTTGAATTTGGTGAATGCTCCCTCGTGACTAGTCTCATTTTGTCGGTCTGGGGCTCCACGCATACATGTCTGAACCTCAATTATGTTGTGATCTGAGTATATTGTTTTTTGATATGGTGACATTTCTTATCAGATCATCATTGTTAGTGAAGATGAGGTCTAGTGTATTCTCCAGTCTAGTAGGCTCTATTATTTGCTGGTTTAAATTGAATTTTGTGCAGAGATTTAAAAGCTCGTGTGAGTGTGAGTTTTCATCAGAGCTGCCTCCTGGTGTTATTACTGTGTCAAAAGCTTTACTTAGGTCAAAAATTCCTAGTGGATATTCCTTATTTTCCAATGCTGTGTAAAGCAGATCTAGCATTTTTATGATTGCATCATTAGTGCTTTTATTTTCCTGAACCCAAATGGCAGGGGTTGAGTATGTTTTGAGCCGTTATAAATGAATACAGTCTCCTGTGCACGAGTTTCTCAAAGATTTTGGATAGCAATGGTAAGTTAGATATTGGCCTATAGTTGTTTAAGTCTGTAGGGTCACCACCTTTATGTATTGGTGTAACCCTTGCCATCTTGAGTAGTTTGGGGAAGGTGCTAGTCTCTATTGACTTGTTAAAAAGTAATGAAATAGCATGCGAAAGGACATGGGCCGCTCGCTGTACAGTAATGGGGGACATGAGACAGATTCCCCGAGTTATTTTTAAGTGACTTTATGATCTCAATGACTTCCGTGGGCTCAGTTGGTGCAAGATAGAAGGAATTGGGGAAAATTTTCCATCTAGGTAGTCCCCGGCATGGCATTGGTATGTGGGATTTTACTGGCGAGATTAGATCCTATGTTTGAGAAGAAGTCGTTTATCTTGTTAGCTGTGTCAGTGGGATGTAGGTTTTTCATTAGTTTTAGTTAGGACAATATTCTTGGTTTTTCTCATTTGTGGGTCCCTAGAATCTGAGAGAGTGTTTTCCAGGTCTTTTTTATATCTCCTCTAGTGTCTGTGAATCTACTGGAGTATATAGTTGTTTGGCTTTTTTTATTACTTTGGTGAAGCTGATGAATAGTGTTTAAGAGTATCTTTTTTGTATTAAGCCCTGTCTATATTGCTTTTTCATATTTGGTGTTTCTTGTCAATGGATTTCAGAATGGTGCTGGTTAGCCATGGGCAACCAAGCCGTTTGTTTGTGATCTGTTTTGTTTTTATAGGACAATGTTTGTTGTATATCTAAGTAATTGTTAAGAAAGATGTCTGTCCAGTCATCAATACCATTGGCCTTGGTGAATTCTGTAGGCCAATCAACAGTCTCTAGGTCAGCTGTGAACATCCTTACTGAGGCCTCGTCATGGAGTCTAAATGAGACTTTGTTTTATTCAAGTGGTGGGTTTTCTAATGTTTGTCAGGAGGAAGGTAGGTAGTGTCTGTATGCTATCTGTGATTATCCCTGATTTAAGGGGGGCTAGTATAAATTTGGGCCCTATGTGGTCTATTATGGTTGCACTTGTCTCAGTGAGCCTGGTTGGTTTAGTTTTTTGTTGGTATGAGAAGTGTGTTGTTTTATATTGTTGATGAAATCATTACAGGCTGATCATCTAGTAAGCCAAGGTTGATGTTGAAGTCTCCCCGCTAAGAGAAGGTGGTGCTTATTCATTTTTCTGTTTGTTATTAATGACTTTAATTTCTCACTGAAATTTGGGATGTTTGTGTGAGGTACCGGGAAATGGCACCGATTGTTATAGGCGTCTTAAGGTTTTTTACAGTAAAATTAGCAAAAATGTATTCCCCATATTCATCACTAAAGCAAGTGGTGCTAAGACAAGATAATTGGTTAGAGTAATAGATTGCAATACCCCCCCAACTTGGTTGTTCTGCAGTTTGTGGATTGCTGTGTATCCTGGTAGAGGGTAGATATCTATTTTTGGGCCTGCTTAAGCCAGGTCTCAGTAAGAATAATGCAGGAGAAGGGTGTCTTTAGTGATTCAAGAAGTGCTAGGAGGTCATCATAGTGTTTGCTTAAGGACCTGATGTTGTAGTTAAGTACTGATAGACTTTTAGCATTGTTTAGGATAGTGGTGGCTTGTGATGCTGTGTAATAAAGGCAGTTACTTTCCAATAGGTTTTGATTGGGTGTCAGATTATGGAGGTTTAGATCAGGGTCAACATGATCAATCATCTTCTAGGTTTAAAATTATGGTTATTTATATCCTGAGTTGTGTGTTGAGTTCTACTACTGATATCTGTAGTGGTTGGAAGTTTGGACAAGTATATAGCTAGAGTATTTTGGTCATGTAGGGTATAGTCACTACTACACATAATGAAGTTGTCATAAATAAAAACACATTTTTTTTAGGCAAGGTAGTAAGACATAGGTGGATAAGTAACACTGGCTGATACATTTGTCTAAATATATAAATTGAACCCAAATGTAAAGAAATCATATTACTGTACTTGACATTATTGAATGACCTTTACAGGTTTAGCGCTTTCTGTTAGTGTGACTTTGTAAATGGTCCTAGTCTGGCCGAAACGTCTTCCTAAGGTCCTATGTGCGGGTTATTTGTGTATTGTGTTCTACTTTGACTCTCCCGCCCCTGTGCTCATGTGATACCCTAAATATTTGAGAGCCACTTTATTCATTAGAACTAAGTTTTACGAGTCAAGTGTTCAAGTAGACGCACCCCTCAGGGAAGGTTTCTTGATGTTGGTGAGGGGCTCTTGATTTAGGGAATTGGATCTGTGCTCCAGTTCCCCGAATTAAGCCTGAATGCCTTCCACATCCCCCCAGGCACTGTATAATCCTACGGGTTTAGCGCTTCCCCTTGATTATAATAATAATAATAATCAAGTAGATGCAGAATACTGTACACAACTTAATTATTTTTAATATACTCCTTAAATTATAAAGGATTTGAGTAAGGTTTATTGTAAATGGTTAAGTATGTGAGTGTACGGTACTGAAGGTTGTTGCCTCAGCCATGACCAGGTACCGTACATCACCACCCTCGTCATATGATCACTCAAAACATTAGCAGACGAAACCAGACTCAGTGATGGCTGTTGCTGCTGCTCAAGGCAAACTTATTGCCGTTATTGGTGATGAGGTAAGGTTTACACTATCTCGTTCACACCAAGCAGTGTCCAAGCCAATTGTCGTTAGTATTATTAAGATTTGGTAGATGAGTTTCCACAGATGGTCAGTGTTCTCGTAGGGTGGTGCAGTCAGCAGTGTATTAACCATTTCTTGTGTTCCCGGCCCCTCAAGGAAGGTTCCTTGATGCTGGTGAGGGGCTCTTGATCCAGGGAACTGGATCTGTGCTCCAGTTCCCTGAATTAACCCTGAATACCTTCCATCCTCCACAGGTGCTGTATAATCCTACGGGTTTAGCGCTTTCCCCTTGATTACAATAATAATAATTGTGTTCCGGAGTTTTCTTATACATCTCTGTTATCTGCCATAACCTTATGCTTAAGATGGACACCATTAACATTTCTCATTTTTAGATTAGTCCTCGGAAGCCTTGATGGAATTGTCTGGTTAAATCTGCTTAAGATCTTTTTAGTTTATCCTAGTATTTTCATATCTATATGTATAAATGTTATTTTCAGATTATTAGTATAACATACCAGTTTATTTCATTGAGTTTCTGGTGGCAGTGTTTTGACATTGATGACTTACAGGTCTGTAGGTCCTCTGTAATTGATGACTTACAAGTTTGTAGGTCCTCTGTTAACTGATGACTTACAGGTCTGTAGGTCCTCTGTAACTGATGACTTACAGGTCTGTAGGTCCTCTGTAACTGATGACTTACAGGTCTGTAGGTCCTCTGTAACTGATGACTTACAGGTCTGTAGGTCCTCTGTAACTGATGACTTACAGGTTTGTAGGTCCTCTGTAACTGATGACTTACAGGTCTGTAGGTCCTCTGTAACTGATGACTTACAGGTCTGTAGGTCCTCTGTAACTGATGACTTACAGGTCTGTAGGTCCTCTGTAACTGATGACTTACAGGTTTGTAGGTCCTCTGTAACTGATGACTTACAGGTCTGTAGGTCCTCTGTAACTGATGACTTACAGGTTTGTAGGTCCTCTGTAACTGATGACTTACAGGTCTGTAGGTCCTCTGTAACTGATGACTTACAGGTTTGTAGGTCCTCTGTAACTGATGACTTACAGATCTGTAGGTCCTCTGTAACTGGACTTACAGGTCTGTAGGTCCTCTGTAACTGGACTTACAGGTCTGTAGGTCCTCTGTAATTGATGTTCTGTAATATTTTTCACAATCAATATTCTCTGTGTGGCCTGTTATTACTGTTGTTTCATTATCACTAGAAGTGTCAAGATGGCTGATGATTAACGCTCGGATTCATTAATGAGTACGTAGAAATATTTGTGTGAATTGTATACAAGGCACAGTACTAGCTCCCATCTTGTTCCTCATCCTCATATCCGACATAGACAAGGATGTCAGCCACAGCACCGTGTCTTCCTTTGCGGATGACACCCGAATCTGCATGACAGTGTCTTCCATTGCAGACACTGCAAGGCTCCAGGCGGACATCAACCAAATCTTTCAGTGGGCTGCAGAAAACAATATGAAGTTCAACGATGAGAAATTTCAATTACTCAGATATGGTAAACATGAGGAAATTAAATCTTCATCAGAGTACAAAACAAATTCTGGCCACAAAATAGAGCGAAACACCAACGTCAAAGACCTGGGAGTGATTATGTCGAAGGATCTCACCTTCAAGGACCATAACATTGTATCAATCGCATCTGCTAGAAAAATGACAGGATGGATAATGAGAACCTTCAAAACTAGGGAGGCCAAGCCCATGATGACACTCTTCAGGTCACTTGTTCTATCTAGGCTGGAATATTGCTGCACTCTAACAGCACCTTTCAAGGCAGGTGAAATTGCCGACCTAGAAAATGTACAGAGAACTTTCACGGCGCGCATAACGGAGATAAAACACCTCAATTACTGGGAGCGCTTGAGGTTTCTAAACCTGTATTCCCTGGAACGCAGGAGGGAGAGATACATGATTATATACACCTGGAAAATCCTAGAGGGACTAGTACCGAACTTGCACACGAAAATCACTCACTACGAAAGCAAAAGACTTGGCAGACGATGCACCATCCCCCCAATGAAAAGCAGGGGTGTCACTAGCACGTTAAGAGACCATACAATAAGTGTCAGGGGCCCGAGACTGTTCAACTGCCTCCCAGCACACATAAGGGGGATTACCAACAGACCCCTGGCAGTCTTCAAGCTGGCACTGGACAAGCACCTAAAGTCAGTTCCTGATCAGCCGGGCTGTGGCTCGTACGTTGGTTTGCGTGCAGCCAGCAGCAACAGCCTGGTTGATCAGGGGCTGATCCACCAGGAGGCCTGGTCACAGACCGGGCCGCGGGGGCGTTGACCCCCGAAACTCTCTCCAGGTAAACTCCAGGTACTCTCTCCAGGTAAACTGCTAGTACTATACCTCAAGAATATAAATAGCATATGATGGAATAAATCAGATGTTATAGTTACTTAAAAATTGCCATTCTCACATGTAGAAAAACAACTGTACCATAATTGTACTGACTTTTATACTTATACTGCAGGACACGTGTGTTGGATTTTTGTTGGGTGGAATCGGAGAAGTGAATAAGAAGCGAGAGCCTAATTTCTTGGTTGTAGACAAAAGTAAGTCGTACTCTTCATGTACTGTGATAATATTTGGTATAAAAGTGTGTTATTTATTAATGTAGAAACTTTATTTTTACACCATAGATTTCCATGTAGAAAATATAGGTACATTGTAATTATTCTTATCTAATTGTAGGCCAAAGAGTGCTTGTCTCCTTAGACAGGAGTTGTGATGCAGATTCATCCAGTAAAAGTATAAATTTAAGAGAAAATTTGTAATTTATACTGTATTAGTAAATTATATTTACAGCAGTTAATATTCATACAAGTTTTTTTGCAATTATCACATTTATTTTGTTTTACATCTACTTTTTATTACTTACAACTATATTTTATTATTAAAAAAAAAATAGTACAGCATTTTGTGTACAGTGTATAAAATTTTCAGATACTAGTGTGCAAGAGATTGAAGAATGCTACAAGAAATTTATGAAGAGAGAGGATATTGACATCATTTTAATAAATCAAAATGTAAGTATGGTAGTATCTCATGTAGTACTGGAGATAAGTGTGGGAATATATATTTATATATATTGCACAATTTGCTGCCAAAAACTTCAGACTCCAATTAAAGTAGTAGTAGTCTACCATACACATCATACCTACAAATTAAGCTGTGGCAGCAATCTTAAAAACGTATTCTGTAACAATATACTTAAACATTTAATAATAACTGGGGACTTCAGCACCTTCCAGTCTGAAGACCCACAGATAGCTAATAACCAAGCCTTCGAGAATTATTATTCCACTGTCTCCTCAGTAGATCATATCTGGATCAGAATGTTAGCTTCTTAAAAAGCAGGGATTGTTCTTGACAGAATACCCTTCTAATCATCACTATTTCAAAATTTATCATAAGGATTGTCCTAGGAAAGGCTGGAGGGAGCAGGTAAAGATTTTGAGTGCTACAGGCTTGTGTGAGTGCACTAAATATGAATGAGTAGAGGCAAGTAGTTTTTATGATTTGACATGCTGCTGGAGTGTGAACAAGGTTGCATTTATGAAGGGATTTAGAGAAATTGTTTTATTTCTAATTTTTATTAGTTCTTGTCCTTGTGTTGTTTTCCTTAAATTCCAATGGGAAGTGGGTTGTTCCTTCCTCTGTAAGCAGTGCTTGTTGTAAATGGCAGTTGAAGTGCTGGAAGCAAGGGGCTAGTAACCCCCGTTCTTCTGTAGCAATTGCTATGAAGACGGAGACGGAAATTTTAATGCTGAGTGGTGAAAAAATTATTTAAAATAATTTGTTTGAATATTGTAATGCTTGCAACTACAAAGCAACATTTATAAGGAATTGTTACTAAAGGACCGATATCATACATAAATGGAGAATATTGTAAGTCACAACATTAAGTCAGGGACTTACTGTATTGTAATTTTGCTATACTATATGTTTCAAGAAGGCCAGTTTTTCTTAGTCCATGTCTACCCCTCAGATTGCAGAGCAAATTCGACATGTCATTGATACTGACAACGATAATCCCCTTCCTGCTGTCCTAGAAATTCCCTCTAAGGATCACCCGTATGACCCGACCAAAGATTCTGTTCTTCGAAGAGCCAAGGTAAGAGCAACTACTTAGGTATACTTTTTTTTACATTCATAACAGAATGTAGCATGCTGATCTTTAGCTAACTTTTGTTTAATTTCTGCAAGTATTTATTTTACTAGACATTTCTACATTAATTATATTTTATGTTTAAATAAAGCTGTTACTATATAGTAAGTTGTGAAAAAATTGAAACTGAAGAATATATTCGGTGCTGGTGCACTGATTATGAACTGAACTTCAACAAACTTTTCTCCACTGAGGGCACACTTTTTTTTTTTTTCAACCATAGCAAATGTACTTTAAAAGTGTATACACTACTGTATAGGAATATATGAGTGCTCAGGTATTTTTATTTTAATTTTCATTGTAGAAATTTTGTATAATTGTAAATCATGGATATGAAAGTGATTCCTTGCCATATTTGCATATATAGTATGTGTGTATTATATGCACACACACACATGCATGTACGAGTGTCTGTCTCAGTGGTCAGAAAGTAGAATGATGTTGGTGAGGAAGTGGAGGCGGGCTCCGCACACAGTTTTAAGTGCAGGTACTATAGGGCCTGATAGGAGTGAATCTGAAGAGTTTAAGAGGGAGGGCCAGGGTCTGAGAATTGGCCCCTTACAATCACAAATAGGTGAGAGACACATGCATGTCAGGCCCATCTTGGGGTATGCAGTACCAGTTTGGAACCCACCCACCCCTGAAAGAGTGCGAGAAGCAGCTTGAGAAAGTGCAGAAGTATACAGTGAGACTTGTTCCTTGTTCCTGTTCTTGAGCTGCGATGAGAGGCTAACTGAGTTGACCCTAACGACATTGGAGGACAGAACTGGGGAGATATATTTTTTATTTATTTTTTTTTTCAACAAGTCGGCCGTGTCCCACTGAGGCAGGGTGACCCAAAGAGAAAGAAAATCCCCAAAAAGAAAATACTGTACTTTCATCACCATTCAACACTTTCACCTCACTCACACATAATCACTGTTATTGCAGAGGTGCCCAGAATACAACAGCTTAGAAGTATACATGTATAAAAATAAACAATATATCTCTCCAAACTGCCAATATCCCAAACCCCTCCTTTAGAGTGCAGGCATTGTACTTCCCATTTCCAGGACTCAAGTCCGGTTATATAAAATAACCGGTTTCCCTGAATCCCTTCACTAAATATTACCCTGCTCACACTCAACAGATCATCAGGAGATATAATATTCAAAATATTTGAAGGCATTGAGGGGCTAGACAGAGATAAACTAAGAGAGGGAAGATACAGGTACTCAGGTACACAGCTGGAAGTTAGACATGGATGATTCACATGGATGTCAGGAGTGCAGGTACAGTAGGGCTTGTGAGGCCTAGGGGGAGTGAATTTGGCAAGTGACAAGTTGAATTTGAATGTTGAATGATGGGGCGAGGAAGTAAACTTGACTACTTGCAAGTGCATATAGGTGATGAAAGGAAAACAGGATGATACTATTCTATCAATTTATCCCCACCTGCTTTCTGCATCTGTCTTAATCTCATTCGCTTCTGCTTTTCTTTTTTTTTATCTTAGCTTTTTTTTTTGTTGGCCTTATTTTGCCTTAAGTGAAATTGCTGTACATTTTATCTAGTAGATGGTGTATGATTCCTATGGGTGTAGCTCTTCCCCATGATTATAATAATTATCGATGTTCAATAAATTCTCACATGATTGCCTGTTATACATTAATATATTTCTATTTGCAGGGTCTGTATAGTGCTGAAGATATGCGCTAAGCATAATCATCACTGATGAAAGCAGGAAGACACGCAGGTGCTGGTTTCCTTTAACATTCCTTTTTATTAGCATGAATGTCAGGTCATTGTGATTAATTGTTGGACCTTGTAAAATAGATGCTTTTAAGTATTTTTTAACGTTACACTGTGAAACTAATTTTATATGGAAAAATATATTTTCCTTGAGAATTCATTGAAGGTGATTTATGCGTCAATGTTTCACTGAATTTTTTTTTTAAACCCAGTGCAATATTTAAAGCACTAGTGACTTAGAAATACTGGTAAGTTGACCAAGTTGTAATTCATGTTTGTTATGTAGTAATATAAATGATAAGTGTATTTTCAGTAATTTTATTTAGTAACCATAATTTTGAATATATACTGTAATAGAAGCCTCTTATGTTAAGAATATCTTTGATAAAGTAGTTTGGAATGGGTTAAAAAAGAAATTAATAATTTCATGCCGTGGCAAGCATAAGAATTAATGAAGAGTAAACCAGGTTTAACATTTTCTCTGCTTGTACAGTAATATGGAGAGTAAACAGGTTTGTGAATATGTTTTCTGCTGTTTAAGTATGCAGCCTGATATTATCAAGGTATCTTATTACAGTTTCATGAGTAAATGATAATTGCAAACAAATTACAGAATGGGTGGAGCTTTAACCCATTCTGTGATTTTTCTACTATTTAGTTTGTAAATCAGGGGTGAAGACATATAATTTATAAAATGTGCTGCATTATATGATTTAAATAAGTTAAGTTAATTTCTGTGCATCATTATAAAATCAGATGGTTCCATCACTTGTACATCCTACTTTTTCACTGTTTGTTGAACACCTCAATGTTGCTCCTTACTATTCTTTTATAATTCTTTCTGCAATACTATATCTGAAATTTTCTAGTTATATACACTGCAGTTCAGAAATAATTGCATTATTGATACAAGTAAACATTAGTTTAAGACTTGCCACAAGTTTGCAGTTGTGGGGGTTGCACAACCCTGTTCA